GGCACTCTGGGAGGAAGCCTGCGGTGATCTGGCTGGAAGGAGGAGCCGTGAGGAAGGGGAAGAGAGGCATGTGTGCGGGTGAGTGTCTGAGGAACCTTCCTGGCTCAGGCCCTGTGCAGTGTATGGGTGCCCTGAGCATGTATGAAACACGCTCCTGAGACCGGGGCCTTGGTCTCCTGGATTCTTGGGTCTGTGCCGCACTCAACCTGCTCTTCATTCCCCTGGACGGTCAGTCACAGAATGATCCTGTAATTGGCTTCCATGGCTTTCGAATAAGTAAGACCATAACAGAGCTAGTTTGGATCTTAACGATAGTACAGCAGGGAGTGCCTTGCAGTGCCAGAAAGGTGACCTGTTCAATAATTTGTTCAATAACCTGGTTCCTCGAACATGACGAGGTCTGCTCAAAAACAAAAACAAAACCAAGTGTAGAATTGCCAAGATCCTCACAGTTTTCCACTATCCAAACCTTTTCTTTAGTGTGGATTCTTTGTACTTTGAGAACCACAGAGATGTACTCTTAACTACATGGCATCATTTTGCTACATTTTTTTTCATATTTTTTCCCTTTATTTTATTTTATTTTTTTACAGTTGTAAATTTACAATTTTTTGTGCTTTGGTTTCAATTATACAATGATCAGATACCCATCCCTCCACCAGTGCCCATTTTCCACCACCATGGATAATATCCCTTCCACCCCCATCCCCCCATCCCCCCTGTCTCTGTGGCAGGGCAATCCCCTGTGTTCTCTCTCTCCTTTTGGGTGTTGTGGTCTCCAAAAGAGGCATTGAGTGGCAAACATGTTCAGTCCATAGTCTACTTTCGACAAGCATCTCCCCTCCTGGGAGGATCCTCCAAACATCCTTTATTTGGTGCTCCCTTCTCTATCTGAACTGCCGTTTCCTCTAGGATACCCGGCTGGCCTCTAAGTTATGGAGTAATCATCCTGGTGCTGATCTCAGCTATTTTTGGGTATTAATCTCATACTTTGTTACTTTATATCCCCCAGATGAATGCAATCTTTCTATGTCTATCCCTCTCTTTCTGACTCATTTCGCTTAGCATGATACTTTCCATATTGTACCACTTGTATGTAAATTTCATGACTTCATCTTTTCTAAGAGCTACATAGTACTCCATTGTGTAGATGTACCAAAGTTTCTTTAACCAGTCATCTGTTATTGGGCATTCAGGTTTCTTCCAGTTTCTGGCTATTGTAAAGAGTGCTGCAATGAACAAACAAGTGCAGATGTCACTTTGACTATACATTTTTTGCCTCTCTGGGATATATTCCCAGGAGTGGTATTGCTGGGTCAAATGGGAGCTCAATTTCTAATTTTTTTTTTTTAGTTTATTTCTTTATTGAATCACTGTGGGAAAAGTTACAGAGCTTTCGGGTTTAGGTCTCAGTCATGTAAATATCAAACACATTTCCCTTTACCAATACTTATTTTTAACCGTGAACCCCAACAGAACCCCACCTCCCACCCCTCCCAATTCCTGTGAGGCAGATGAGTTCTAGTTAATACTCTATCTACTTTGACTAGATGCATTGCTTCGATAGAAGATACACAATTATTGTTTAGAGTTTATGACCCCACCCAATCAGATATGCTGAAACAGTGTTGTGAAATGATTTGCTTTCTACAGCTTGGTTTAATAATAAACCGCGGCCGCGCGGTTTTGGATTTCTGCTGTTTCACTTATTAACCCTGGAAGTATTTCTATTAAAATATAGATAGTTAAGAGATTGGTTTCTGTGCTCTGGAGTCGTGGCCGTGCCGGAGAGCCGCTCGTGGGGGGCAGCCGGTGACCTCGGTCGGGCGTGAAGGACGGCCCAGAACGCCCCCCTTCCCATGAGGCCCCCGCTGCCCCCCGCCCCCGGCTCAGACCTGCTGTCTACAAGGCTCCCGTGCGGCGGCCATCTTTCTTTCCAGAGAGGAGCAGGCGAGCGGGACAACACCCTTTCCCCTCCGGGCAGGCTTGGTGGCGCAGTTTAACACATAGTCCATTTGCTTTTCTGCTCCAAGCGGCTGGTTCTCTGTGCTAAGTCCTTGTGCCTCCGGGGCCGTGGCCGTGCCGGAGAGCCGCTCGTGGGGGGCAACCGGTGACCTCGGTCAGGCGGAAGGACGGCCCAGAACGCCCCCCTTCCCATGAGGCCCCCGCTGCCCCCCGCCCCCGGCTCAGACCTGCTGTCCACAAGGCTCAATTTCTAATTTTTTGAAAATCGTCAATACTGTTTTCCAGAAGGGCTGAACCAGTCGACATTCCCACCAACAGTGAAAGAGTGTCCCTTTCTCGCCACATCCACGCCAGCATCGGTTGCTTTTGTTCTTTTGAATGTGGGCCAGTCTCTGAGGTGTGAGACGGTATCTCATTGTGTTTTTGATCTGCATCTCCCTGATGATTAATGATGTAGAGCATTTTCTCATGTGCTTTTTTGCCATTCGGATTTCTTCTTTGAGAAAGTTTCTGTTCATTTCATTGCCCCATTTTTGGATGGGGTTGGATGTTTTCTTCTTGTGGAGTTTAACCAGTATTTTGTATATCCTGGATATCAACCCCTTGTCAGATGTGTATTCGGTGAATATCCTTTCCCATTCTGTAGACTGTCTTTGTATTTTGGTCACTGTTTCTTTGGAGGTGCAGAAGCTTCTTAGTTTAAGATAGTCCCATTTATCTATCTCTGTTTTCACTTGCTCGGCCAGTGGCGTGGCATCTTTGAAGATACCATTAGCTTCAATGTCATGGAGGGTTTTGCCAACTTTATCTTCAATGTACCTTATGGTTTCTGGTCTGATGTTCAGGTCTTTAATCCATTTTGATCTTACTTTTGTACATGGTGTTAGGCAGAGTTCTGAGCCTATTTTTTTGCATGTAGCCGTCCAGTGATGCCAACACAATTTATTAAAGAAGCTTTCCTTATTCCACTTCACATTACTTGCACCTTTATCAAAGATTAGATGAGCATATGATTGAGGGGAGATGTCAGTGTATTCAACCCTGTTCCATTGGTCTGCAGTTCTGCCTTTGTTCCAGTACCATGCTGTTTTAATTATTACTGCTTTGTAGTACAGTTTGAAGTTCAGGAGATTGATTCCTCCCATTTTCTTTTTCCCAAGAATTGCTTTAGCTATTCGTGGGGGCTTATTGTTCCATATAAATTTCAGGAGTGTTTGCTCCATTTCTTTGAAGAATGTCATGGGTATCCTTATAGGGATTGCATTGCCAAGATCCTCACAGTTTTCCACTATCGAATCTTTTCTTTAGTGTGCGACTCTTTGCACTCTGAGAACCACAGAAATGTACTCTTAACTACATGGCATCATTTTGCTACATTTTTGGACAAGTGCTTGAATTCCATGTTTTGTTCAGTTTCAGAACTGAAACCGCGACTTCAGGATTTGGCATTACAGTACTTTGATTTGGGAATGGGGTCAGCAAGTACGAGTGAGTTGGTAAGATTCGCTAATTGAGAATAAATATTATTATTCCAGCAGAAATGGACCAAGTATGTGATTGTTGAGGTGGAAGCCTGAGAATGCCAGGGAGGAATTCCAAAGCTTGAAGCTTGGAGTAGAGGACCTTTAGCTTTATTACGTGCTGAAATCAACCATGCAGAAAAATACTGTGAGTTTTGATTTGCTTGACAGTGGTAGTTGTTTAAAAGCTAATTTGTGCGCCCTAGAGATGGTGCAGTGAGAAATATACTTGCTTTGCTCAGGGATGGATGATCCTTACCCAGCACGCCTTATAGACACCATAGACCCACAGAGCTGATCCTAGACACTGCTTGGTGTGCCCCTCCACCAACCCAACCCCCAATAAATAGAAACTACAAAACAGAAAGAACAAAGAATGTCATTGATCCTGAAAGGCATCACGTGTGGTGAGAGCTTTGCAATGGCCACGTGGTCTGTCTCAGCTGTGTGACGATGCAACGTTGTCTTCACCCCTGCATCACAGGTTCCACACTAAGCTTTAACAAAACCCACATGAGGATGTATTTCATTTTCTCTGGAAATGGATGCGTCCGTTTTCTATAGAAAGAATTGTTTCCAGTTGTATTCCTTCATTAATTTAAAGGGGGGAAGTCACAGCATTTACTGACTCTGCATCCATCAATTTTGTACGTCCAACTTACAGTAACATGAAGTTAGTCTATAGTAAGACAATTCATATGTCGGTAATTGCATTTTTGTGGTGCATATGTGTGAATCCACAGCTGAAGGGCTCAGGTTTTTGACAGAAAGACTCAGTAAATAAGTCAATAATTACAATCCTCTGTTGTTCTACAGGAAAGCTGCCACCCCGAGTGGAATGTCTCTGATCCTGCACTGTATGACAACATCTCAAGTGAGCAATCCTGCCCTCAGCCCCATGAGGACTCCGAGACAGGCGGGATGTCTTCTGAGGGTGATCAGAATGCTGAGAGCTACCTCACTCAGAAGAAGCCCTCTCCTGGAAAAAGTTCCTTGGAGTGTGTTATTCTCAGTTCACAGGCCCAAAATCCCCCAGTGCGGCAGCTGCTAGGGAGAGGAGCACTGTTTATAGTGAGTCCCTCATAGCAACATACCCTCAACCATAGTCACCGTGAGCAGAACCCATCTACGTGTAAGGAATGTGTGGGAGCCTCCCCATGTTCTCAGCACTGTGGTGTTCCCTTAGAAAACCACAGTGGACAGAATCCCCAGAAAAGTAAGTCCCAAGAACAAAGTGTGAGTCAAGGGTTACTCCATCATGACCATATGATTATAAATACAGGAACGAAACCTTTTGCATGTGAAGCATGTGGGAAGGCCTTCGATCAATCATCACATCTTATTATGCATAGGAGAATTCATACAGGAGAGAAATCTCATGAATGTCAGAAGTGTGGGAAGGCCTTAATTCACATGTCTAATCTTAAGAGACATATGAAAACTCATAGTGGATAGAAACCTTATATATGTCAGAAGTGTGGTAATGCCTTTACTCAATCCTCAGGCCTCAGTACACATAGGAGAATTCACACTGGAGTGAAACCATATAAATGTAAGGAGTGTGGAAAGGCCTTTACTCAATCCTCAAGCCTCAGTAAACATAGGAGAATTCACACTGGAGAGAAACCGCATATATGTAATGAATGTGGGAAGGCCTTTGTTACAGCCTCAAAACTTACTGTACATAGGAGAATTCACACTGGAGAGAAACCGTATATATGTAAGGAATGTGGAAAGACCTTTGCTAGATCCTCAAAACTTACTATACATAGAAGAATTCACACTGGAGAAAAACCATATATATGTAAGGAATGTGGGAAGGCCTTTATTGAAACCTCAAGCCTTAGTGTACATAGGAGAATTCACACTGGAGAGAAACCGTATATATGTAAGGAATGTGGGAAGGCCTTTGCTGTAGCCTCAAGGCTTAGTGCACATAGGAAAATTCACACTGGAGTGAAACCATATATATGTAAGGAATGTGGCAAGGCCTTTTCTGATGCCTCAGTACTTAGAGTACATAGGAGAATTCACACTGGACAGAAGCCTTATATATGCATGGAGTGTGAAAAGACCTTTATTACATCCTCACAATTGACTGTACATAGGAGAATTCACACTGGAGAGAAACCGTATATATGTAAGGAATGTGGGAAGGCCTTTGCTACAGCCTCAAGACTTAGTAAACATAGGAATATTCACACTGGAGAAGGACCATATATATGCAGTGTTAAAAGACCTTTACTACATACTCACAATTGATTGTACATAGGAGAAATCACACTGGAGAGAAACTGTATATATGTAAGGAATGTGGGAAGGCCTTTGCTACAGCCTCAAGACTTAGTAAACATAGGAATATTCACACTGGAGAAGGACCATATATATGTAAGGAGTGTGGAAAGGCCTTTGCTTGGGCCTCAATATTTAGTGAAAATAGGAAAATTCACACTGGAGAGAAACCGTATATATGTAAGGAATGTGGAAAGGCCTTTGCTGTAGCCTCAAGGCTTAGTGTACATAGGAAAATTCACACTGGAGTGAAACCATATATATGTAAGGAATGTGGGAAGGCCTTTGATGGAGCATCTAGACTTACTGCACATATGAAAATTCATCTCAGAGAGAAACCTCATCAGTGTCAGACATGTGGGAAGGAATTCTCACGGTTCTCTTCCCTTACTCTACACATGACAATTCACACTGTAGAAAAGCCTTAGACATGTCTGGAGTGTGGAATGGCCTTTACTTCATCTTAACAATTGACTGTACATAGGAGAATTCGTATAGTGGACAGACACCATATATATGTAAGGAATGCGGGAAAGCCTTTGCTACAGCCTCAAATATTAGTATACATAGGAAAATTCACACTGGAGAGAAACTGTGTATGTAAGGAATGTGGGAAGGCCTCTGTATGACCTCAACACTTAATGTACATAGGAGAATACACACTGGAGAGAAACCATATACTTGTAATAAATGTAGAAAGGCCTTATGAGAAACCTTAGATTTAGTGTACATAGGAGCATTCGTGCCAGAGAAAAACCTTATAAATGCGAGGAATGTGGGAAGGCCTTCTGCCATTCTGAATCCTTTCAAAGCAGAGGAAAATTCACAGTTGAGGGAAAGCTTATCAGTGTCAGACTTGTGGGAAGGCCTTCATTTGGTGCTATTCTCTAACTCATTATGTGAGAATTCATTCTGGAGGTAAACTGCATATATGTCAGAGATGTGGGAAGGGCTTCATGTACCCCTCACACCTTAATAAACATCAAAGTTCATACTGAATGATTTTATCCCTTAATAACAGTCTCTAAGGACAGAACAGGACAAGTCAGTCAAGCAAGTTTCCTTTGGACACGGTGGTCAAGGGTGTTAAAAAAGTGCAGTTAAGAGGGAAGTAAGCCAGCCTGCTCTGAACAGGCTTCTCATGTCATTGAAAGGAACCTGCTGATTTTCACCTGGGCTGCACCTATGCCAGTATTCTAGTGCTTGGAATTGCTTGTGTGTTAACTTGTAAATAATGGGTCCTGGTGATGAAAATAAGGAGGAAGATGACTGAATAAACAGGTACAGAATCATCTCCCTGCTCAGAGCTGTTATGGCTCACTACTCTGTTATTGTTTGCTATGCTTGTGGCTTGGCCCAGAGGGTCTGGTTAGCGGGAGTTATGGGAGAAATCAACCAAGATGCAGCATTGAATACTTTGAAAATGGAAAAACAGTTAAACCTTCATTTTTCAGTCTTTCCTGTGTTAGGTTTTGGCATGCTTGAGCCCCCTGAAAATCCTGGTTTGGGAACTTGAGTGGCAGGTCACGCCAGCATGTAGGGCACTTTCACGCTTTTTTTACTTGTTCCGGACATCCAGGCTTTAGGGGATGTGGAGCTTTTAAGGGGTGCATTGGAGGCTGTTCTGTGGCGCAGGTGTCAAGGGTGAGGGTGCGTTATCCTGAGGTGCCGTGCAGCCATGATTGCATCCAGGTCCAAGATGGCACTGGAGGGTGGGCACATGGATTTCAGGCCTTGGTGTGAGGAGCCTGAAGAGAGTGGGGGTCTTGACCATCTCATTCCTCCCTACCCAAGACTCTGCAGGACCCTGTTTGCAGCCTTTGGACTAGACATAACACTTACCGAAACTCCAGATATGTTCACGGGCAGCCCACAACGGAAAGGGACACTTTTGTGGTCGGTCATTTTCATTGGCTTCTGTGCTGGGGTTTGGACAAGTGAGAGGTATTTGCCTCTGAAAATTTACTCTTTGGATTAATTTTTTTTTTTTTGCTTTTTGGGTCAACCCAGCATTGCACGTGGGGTACTCCTGGCATATGCACTCAGGAATTACACCTGGTAAAGCTCAGGGGACCATATTGTTGCTGGAATTTGAACCTGGGTTGGTCACATGCAAGTCAAACACCCTACCCTCTCTGCTATCACTTCAGCCCCTCTTTGGATTAATTTTAATAGCTTTTTTATTCAGGGTATATGGAAGGGATTCTTTGATGCTCAAGGTTACTTCTGGTTCTGCAGCTCAGGAATTATTCTGTGGTGTTTCTGAGTTCCTATGGGATGGGGACTTTTGACCTGGATAAGCAAGGCACGCTCAAACAAATCGATGAACAACGGGAGGGGCTTTACCTTTACCTTTACCTTTACCAGCAAGGCAAGCATCCTACTCGCTTTACAGTGAGTTCAACCCCACTATTGGTGCTTTTTTCCATATATAGAATTTCTACTTTCTGCGTGTATGGTACCACAAGCAGGTCAATCTTTGCCAGTAAGGCGAGAGCATCAGCTGCCTGATGGTACCGTCAGACTTCCAGATACTCCGAAATTGAAGCTGTGCCTTTCGCCAGATTCCAAAAACTTTGGGCAAAGTCTTCCAAGAAAGTAAACGACCAAAAGTTAGGTATGTGCGTGACACACCAACAAACCATTTCTGGCTTAGCTATATAATTGGAGCAAGGTCTCTCTGGTTCCTGATCAAACTGCTTAAAGGCTATGATCCCAGAGACTCAGAGACAAATCTCAGAACCCTGAAGCTTTTTGCAGAGATGCTCCTTGTTCCCACAATGACCTACCAGTGACAGACCACCACAAGGGGGAAAGGGTGTGTATCTCCGCCTGATCCCACTTGGTGACTCGGTGGCCACCATCTTCCAGAGGCCATTGGACAGACAGGTTTGGGCCTGCAGTAACAAGACATGCAGGGCCTCATGGGATTGGGGTGGACTCTGCCCTTTCCTCCCAACCTCAATTAGACCCCGAGTCGCTGCCCATATACGGACTCTCTGGCTCTTGATCACTCGGCCATGATCCCAGAGTCTCAGTAACAAATCTCGGAACCCAGCGGCTTGCAGAAGAAATGTGTCTGGTCCCCACAGTAGGTTACCAAAGCTGGGTATTTCAGGTGGCAATAGGTTTCGTGCCTGGCGGCTCAGTGGCTGCCATCTCTTATGACTTCTGGACGGTTAGGTTTGGGACTGCTGTGAGGAGACATGCAGGGCCCAACTGGATGGTGGTGGAGCCGGCCCTTTTCTCCCCACCTCTACGAAACCCTGAGTTATCTGGCACCTATGATTGATCTCTGTGGCTCATGATCAAGGTGCCTAATGGCTATGATCCCAGAGACTCAGAGAAAAATCTCAAAACCCAGCGCCTTTTAGCAGAAATGCATCAGGACCCTGCAGTAGGTTACTGTCCCCGGTCCACCCCAGGGGGAATTGGTGCTGTCCCCCCAACTGCTCCCACTTTGTGGCTCAGTGGCCTCCATCCTCCAAAGGACTTTGGAAAGTCAGGTTTGGGCCCACACAGTAAGGTATGTGGGGCCTCTCAGGATGGGGTGGAGCCGGACAATTCCTTCCCTCCCCAACATGAGCCTATGTCATTCCAACGAACCGTCTCTCTGACTCGTGGTAAAGTTGTTTAATGGCCATAGTCCCAGAGACTTAGTAACAAATCTGGGAACACAGCAGGTTTTGGCAGAAATCCCTCCAGATTTAGTTGTTAAAATTTCAGAATTCCAAAATCATGTTATTTTTAACCAGCAATCGAAAAAGTATTGTCTACTGTTGCGTTTTCGCCAGATCTGAGTGCTGGGGTAAAATCTCAAATAATAATGGTGGGTCTCGTGTCAAAATATTGAAAGTAATCAAAGTAGATAGAAGAATGTGGAAATTATCTGCCCCACAGGTAGGGGGAGACTGTGGAATGGCGGTATACTTGGGGTTTTAGTGGTGGGAAACGGGCACGGTGAAGGGATGGGTGTTTCATTGTATGACAGAGAATTAAACCTGAAAGCTTTGTAATTGCTCTCCCACTTTTCCCGTTTTCTCCCATTTATTTAGAAATGGCCAGAGCAATAGTAGGGCAAGTAGGATGCTTGCTTTGCATGTGGCCAACCCAGGAGTCCTCCAATCGACATTTTTGAGTTGCTCATTGGACATTGAGTATCCCCTTCTCATCCCTAGAACATGTTATGTGGAGGTGTGGCATGGGGTAGGGCTGTCTTCTCCCCGGAGCTGTTCATTTCGGATAGATCCTGTGCTTTGCTTTCTTGACTTTGTTGTCAATCTTCCTTATCTGTCAGGTATTTCAAGTAGTCCTTGTGATTATGGCTGTATAACTAGCTTGACTGTACACCTAAAAGGTCGGGTGCCCTTTCTGGACTTCGCTCAGTCAATCTGACACCATGCATATCTTTGCCTTTGGATCATTGCCATGACTTTTTGAATATGGGAAGAAATTTAGTTTTCTTTTGTTTTGGGGTCTGGGGATGCTCAGCAGTTATTTCTGGTGGTACTCGTAAGTTGCTTTTGACAGTGTTAAAGGATCACCCCCTGTCAGCCTCATGCAAGGCAAATGCCTACCTGCTGTACGCTTGTACACACCAAAATTGTTTTATTGTGTCTATGTTAAATTGTGACTGTGAGCCCATCGTGAAGCTAATTCGAATCAGAACAGCAGTGCATCACGGAGGGTGCTCGCCTAACAGATAATGCCTACCTTCGATGTCCAGCATCCCCTATGGTATCCCAAGTATCACTGGGTCTGATTAAAAACAAAACCCAAGCGGCTTTTTTGGGGGTTGCCGAGCTCCTCCCAGCAACACTTCCCATGGATTTCCCCTTTCTGTAGGCTTGCTTGGATGGTGAGAACTATGCAGATGTCCTCCACCTGCTTGGTCATTCAACTGCATTCCATTCAACATTGGACTAATTCTCATTGTGCATTTTGTTTGATTTCAGAACTCAAATCACAGG